GGCCTGCACCGATGTGCTAGGTCAGCCCGAGCAAAGGTCTTGTAGTCAGATCGGGCTGGAACTTCCCCTAAAATCATTTTCCTGTACTACTGATACAAACGTGAATTAGCTAGGTCATGGCTTGCACCCTCTAGCTTTCTCCCTGGAAAACCTGCTGAGGCAGAACGTAGCACTGCTGATGCTAAACTGTGCTTGCTCTGAGGCTTAAAACGGGCTCTTATCTAACGGTTCTTCTAGATGCGTTTCCACTTCTATTCTTCCCTGGATCAGTTTTTTTGGATTTAGTAAATCTGCAGGAAACAGCTTGTGTTTATTGTCCAGTGCAGTTGACTTTTCTCCCCACTAGGAAATGACTTGCTTTTGATCTAGTCTTCTCTCCATAAACTGTGTGATTCCATGATCTCTTTTCTGCTTGCTTTAGTATGACAAAACTGCTGTCAAGTTTTAGCCTCAGGCTGCTAAAATCTGAGCCTGGAACTTTCCCAGATAGGTGAGTCTGAATGGCTTCTGCGGCTGAGAAGTCTAGGTATTCCAGGTTTCTAACTGCATGCAGACTCATGTGCTGTCTTCTTGGATGCTTGCCTGAATGCTATAAGAGCTGTAGCTACTGTTTTTTTCCTATAGTAAAAGCTGTACTTGTCCCTGTGAGCTTTGCTTGCAGGGACAATTGCTAATCTGACAAGATGCTGCCAAACTGCCCACTTCCATATTTTCCCTGTCAGAAGGGAGGCATCACTTCTCTGCTGTAGGAAGTGCCATGTTACTGACATCTAGTGACAAAGATACCTGGTGTTCTTTGGGCTGCAAATTGGCCATGTTTTCTTCCAGAGAGAGCATCTGAAATATCCTTGGAAGGGTATTATGGCCGGCTGCTTCCTCTTCCTGAGAGAGCACAATTCTTGCCTTTGAAGGGTTGAGTCTTGAGGCTGTGAAGCGTTACATCTTGAGTTCTTTGAAGCACAGATGACTGGAAATGCACTCTGGTTTGATAGTTTTTTGTTGTTTTTTTGTTTGTTTTTTTTTCCTGATGAAATGGGAACAATCACTAAACAAAATGGGCTTTGTAAAGAAACTTCCTGTGACCCTAGTTAAACTTTTCTTGTCTCATCCGTGCATCAAGAAATAATAGAGCCAAGACTGTCTTTTGCAGCACAACATCTTGCACTGGTTTTCTAAGCTTATGCTACTAAAGACAGAGTATTTAAAGGCTGGTCTTAGGGTTAACTGGAGGAGGGACAGACATACAACTTGGGGTGTCACAATATAACTGGTCTGTATGGCAGAGTCAGCTTCTCTCCTTTAGCGAATGATCTATGGAGTCAAAAGTTACTAGCAAGCCATATATTATTTTGATCTCAGCAGGAGGCTGGCAGCTCAGCTAAAAGCTTGCAGACTGGGACACAGAATGTGAAATGCATTTGTCTGCTCTACAGTTATAGTAGAAAGAAAGACAGGTCAGGGCACCTAGACCATTACTAGTCTGCAGAATATAAGCTCTTACTCAAACTGCAGTCTGTGTCTCTAACCTATTCTGTTAGAAGATTAATAGAATGCAAGTTACGGTTCAGGCTTCTAGCTCAAGAGTGAAAAGCAAGTAGAAGTTGCTTCAGACTTACTTTAAAAACGTGCCTTGGAAGAACTGGTACAAATGGAAGAAGGCATTGGGGCTGTTCAGATAAGGTTGTACTCAAAATAAGGTGTAGAGGTGTGTTAAATACTGTTTCTGTGATGTTTTACCAGAGTAAGGGAGCTTCTCGTGTTTCCCTGTGTCAGTATTTATCTCTTGTTACTCTTCAGACTGGCTTTGTGCAGTATGACATGTAGAAGTAGACTGTGGGAGGAGAGCCTGGTAGGAGTTGAACGTGCTTCTCTTCCTGCCCACTGGTTATGGGGATTTATGGGATTGGGTTTAAAATAGGAACAGTCTCTGAAACTGATGGGTTTATTTCAATAGCTTTTTAGCTCACGGTGTGCCTCTTAATTAAATTATGCAGCCTGTCTTCCTCAGGATGAAGTGATTGCAGCTACTTTTGTTTAAAACCAAGTGCAGCCCATGGTCTCCTGGAAAGTGGCTAATGCAGCCCTCTAAGCAAAGCTTAGACGCTCGGATTAGCTGATGGGGTGATGACATTGTTGTAAGCCTTAAGCCTTTTGGTTTGATAATGGCTAGTGCTATCCTGAAAGGACTGGTTTCTGAATAACTGCAGTTTGCCAGAGCAGCCTGACTAATCCCCCTCCTGCTTCAACTGTTGTCGCTTGTCCAAGATTCATACTGATTTCTGGAATGCAGAAATTGTTACAGTTGGTGATTTACCCTCAGCCCCCTGGTTGGAGCTGCAATACCTCTCCTGGTTTCTTCCTGGATGAGAACTCTAGCAGCTAATGTACCTTGAACTGCTTAGTTAAATAAGCTCCTTAATGCACAGAAATCTGTCTCACTGTTAAGTCAGAACCCAAACTTTCTTTTAATAGACTCCTAAATGGGTTGGTTGCTTTACATCAGCTTATTAACTGACTTGTGATTGCTGTTCCCTAGATGTGCCATGCAGATGAGAGAAATAAGCGTTCCTGTTTTCATTCAAACTTAGTGATGTTTGTGCTGTGGGAAACTTCCAGCCCCTTAATGTGAGTGACAAAGCCCAGAGCAGCTGGGTCTTGGGCTCACTACTGGTCATCTTGTGTTTATTCGTATCCTGTACTTGATGGCCCAGGAAACTTGCTAAAGCTAACGGCTTGTCTCACAGGGGGGCTGTGGCTGTGCAGATGAGCAGGAATCTGCTCATCAACTCTCAAAGCCTTGTTCCTGTCAGGGGTTGAGTTGAAGGCAAACCATGTCACGTGCTTATTTTCCCCACCTGTAGTGCTAGACTCTTTTCTGGAGAGGTATCTCTGCAGTGAAAATAGCACCCACACAGCTGGCTTAGTGAAACACAGCTGATCCCAAAGGTGTTTTCCTAAATGAATGGACAAATGCACTCTGCTGTCAGGATGCTTCCAGAGCTCACTGAATCCTGAGGCTGCTGGTGCTTGGGGGTAATGTGGAACTGTAGTTATATTGCTAGGGGCAGCGTTAGAACTTCTGTCCCTGCTCCGGCTGCTGTTGAGCTGCTGTGTTACCGCTGCACCTCTGAAGAGACAACATGGAAGATTTGCTGAGCAGACCTGCCATGATAGTGGCCAGGCCTGGCTCAAGAGTTCAACTGCCTGTGCTGAACTTAGAGAAATGTGGGGGAGGATACAGAGAAAGCACAAATACCAATATATGACTAAAGTTTATGGTGGCTCCAGTACTGGTAGGCTGTAGGCACATTGCAAATGATGTTTCCTTCAGACAGTGCCTCGGGTTTTTAGAGTTAGAACAAGCATCTCTTGCCTGTACATGAAGCTGCGGTTACTGCAGTCGTGTTGCCTCATACCACTGCAGAAAACTGATGAACAATTCCCTATTTTTCCTAAGCAATAAATTTGAGTAGATCAGCTTCTTTTTTTTGTTTGTTTGTTTTAATTTGTGCAAATACATTTATAAAAGGCAGGCAACTGTTCCAAAGTTCGTGGTGTAGGTTAAAACCATCACTGTTCCTGCTCGTACAGGGAAGGGTTAAAGGTCTGCGTGGCATCACCTGAAAGACTTCAGATAATGGCACAAATCTTTGGAGAAAATCAGTTGTTTGAATGTCTGTATATCTGGGATTTGGGCTAGAATTCAACTTTGCCTTTCATACACTAATGAACAGATGACTGGTAACAGTGGTGTCTTGTTACGGGTGTGATGCTATGGCTTCTCAAGTAGAGAGACCACAGGAGGCTAATGCAGTGGACAAAGGCTGGAGAATTGCTACTGTTTGCTGTGGCATTTCTGGACGAGTTGCTTCAGATACAGACAAACCACCACAGAAGGAACAAACTATGCTTGTTAGTCCATTCCTTATGTCTGCCTTGTTTAGTCTAAGAAAGCTCTGTGCTGTATATTGTTCATTTTTCTACAGCTATTCTAGGTCAGAATCTATGAAGAGGCAATGGAAGTGGAAGGCTGGGCTCTTACATGCTGCAGGAGGGAGCTGCTGAATCTCCACTTGCTAAATGCAGGTTTAGTGCATCATCTTACTAGGTAACTACCAGTTCAGCAACTTGTTGCATCCCAGAATATGTGAAACCGAGAGCCCAGCAACAGGATCCAGCTGCCTGAGCCTGTGCTCCTGACTGCACCCATGCGTTCCAAGTGTGTGGCACAATGTAGTTCTGAAAGGGCAAAATACGGTGGCTCTTGGAGGACCACCTGTCTTTATGTCAGAGCTAATAAATAGAGCGTTTTCCATCTATGATAGAATCTGTGGACAAAAGCAGCTTTTGAGTTACTATGCTTTACTGAGGCTCTGTCTTTCTCTGGACTCCCTTGGTCATGGTGTGCAGCTGATGTGCTGCAGACTGGCTTCTGGGGCTTTGTCTAATGTGTGATGATAGTTTGAGAGAGGGATACTCCCTAAGGCACAT